GAATTGAGATATGTTCAGGCAAAAACCAGGCAGCCGTATGCTGTGACTTGAGGAAATATTCACATATAAAAAAGTACTGAATATAATGTTACAGTAAGCTTCCCCCAGCATTCCATTTCTCAGAAAATATAGGGGAAGAGAAAGAAGTGAAGTAACTAGGAAAAAATGCATGACGGAAAAGGAAAAATGCAAGCTTGAAATACTTTACTGTATATCTTCTGATGCTCTATCTATGTCCCAACAGGATTCGGACGTCTCTTGGATAAACCAGAAACAGTGTAGATCCAAAGCTTTATGAACTTCACGTGGTGATCTCCTTTGTCAGGCCTCTTCAGTTAAACACGCACATGCACACACAGCTCAAAGTTCCTTTTGGAAATAAAGAAACTCTGAAGCCTTATTCTAAATTGATCATGCTGGGTTTTGAGAAACAGAATCTTTGCTAAGGAATTCTTTATAATATACCTGGAAATACTTCTGGTTATCCAGAGTCTTACACTGAACCTTGGAAACATCCCAAAAGAAAATACATTGCTCATAGGAGCCTTTTAAAGAAACAAAACACGTTTGTCTCCCCTCAACAAAAAAAAAAAAAAAAAAAAAAAGAGATCATTTACGAACTGTCCTGTTATTAGTGAATACATATTTTTCAATTCGTGGATTTATTAACTGCTCATTCTGTTCGGAGTCACTGCACACCACATAAGTGAGATGATACAACTAAGGGTGGAGATGTGACTGTGGACATGCCATTTGACCTCTTTGCTTCTCTATTTTTTATATGTAAAGTGTGGGGTTTGAAATAGACGACAGCAATGTTTCTTTCCAGCTTTTCAAACTACAAGAAATCCAGGAAGAGTTACTGTCTTAAAAACTGCCATAAATTTGGTAACAGGTAGGTAGCAGGGCTTAGAAGAAAATAAGGGTGGAAATCCCATTTGAAAGATGGTTTAAAGGGAATCTCTCTTACCCTAAAGCATAGAAACATCCATCAGGATCCTGGGAAAGGCTGCGGGATAGAGGGATATACGAGTATCTTGCAGTGCTTTGGAACAAGGCATGCATGTAGCTTACATCAGGAAACTGGAAAGAAAATTTTCACTCTATAGGGGAAGGGACTAGTCAAGGAGCATGTATGAATGACCCATGGACATAGAAAACAGGGCGAGTGGACTGTGGGAGCAGGGGGTGGGCTGGGCAGAGGAGAGCAAAGGGGGAAAAATGGGGACAACTGTAATAGAATAACTATAAAATATTTTTTTAGAAAAGGGAATCCTATTCTTAAAAACAGGCCCTTAGAAAGGGCTCTGGACTGGCGGCCGTGTTGGCCCTGTACAATAGTAAGGAAGGTCTTCTAAAGAGGTAATCATCTGTCTAAAAATTACTTATTTATTCTTTTTAAGAAAGAGGAGATACAAAGTTTAGAAGGTCCTTCTTTTGCATCTCAAAGCAAATAACCTCCTCTGACGTGGGCTAGTCTGATCCCAGATTCCATGTGCACATAGAGTGGTTTGGGCACTTGCTCTGGAGATCATGTCTGTACCCAACAAATTTGTGATGAACCAACAGTGCAGATACCCCTTGTGCATAATTTGTCTCAGGAGACATGCCTCTCAGATGCATCTCAGAACTTACTCAGTACTTTGGGCTTGAAATATTTTTTCCAATAATTGTGTTTTAATATGTTTTACATGTCAATTCTGAAAATTGACATCCTTTTGAAACTACAAGTTTTTTTTTAATGATTTATGGTAGACAAACAAAATTTCTCATAACATCAAATGTATCGATATACTTACAATATAAAAGTGTCAGTGTTTCAGTAAAAGACTATGTAATGAACCCAATAAAAAAGGAATTTGAATACATTTTTTTCCTGTACATAAAAGCATCTGCTCTAACTTCTGCCTCCTAAAACTATTGCTTATTTTGTTTCAGCTTTACCCTTAAAAATAGTAAAAGAATGATCTGGCTTGGAATGTTCATTAGTTTAACAGCAGGAGTCAAGTTAATCTCCTCACACTGCACCTTAGACTTACTTTACTCAGTATTTAAGATGTTCAAAACAGGTTTCTTGGAGGGAACAATGTTGATCTAGAATTTGGGGCCTCTTGGGGGCATAAACCAGTCAGAACTCAGACTGAGAATGAATTTGCCACATATTTCTGAATCAAAAGGCAGCTCTCTTCTAAAGTGACCTTGGGAAAGTAATTTTTCATCCTGGGATGCAGATGTACATGATAGAGGGCAGCTGCTCTCATTATAAATATCTGTAAGGTAGGCAAAATGCTGCGCTGTAACTCCTGTAGCCAGAAAGCCAGGACAGGGAGGGCTTATGTGACCTTTCGGGAATATGCTGTTCACCCCCAAGGAGCCCTGAGTAATTAGAACTGAGAGCTAGCACTTCTCACAGGAGGGATCAATTTACTCCGAATAGCCCAAAGCTTTTTATCACGTGTACTCTTGTTCTGGACAAGGGAGTAGGGGACAGGGAGACCCAGTGAGGGGAGGTTGAACAAGGAACAGTAATCTGAGAAGGAAAAACAAAAATAGAGTGGGGAATAGAGGGAGGAAAGAAAGAAGAGCAGGCTTTGGGAGGCCCTGTGGCACTTACTGGCAGTCCTGCGCTCAAAGGCCCCATAGAGGGCAGGTGGCTATTTCAGTCTGTTCCCTTTATAGAAGTAGAGTCTACTGTTGCCCTGAGGGAGGGTGGAAGCTGAAATTGACAACCACTCTGCAGGGCATATTCTTTTTCCTGAATCTACAGTGGCTCCCACACTTTGTTTTGCTTTTTAGGACCCGCTGAGGTTCAGCTCCACCTTTACCCTTCCCACGTGAGCGCCAGCCACTCCGCTAACCACACTCTCCAGTGAGGCTGCTCTCCTGGCTGTCAGCACCACACCTACACCTCCTCCTCCTCCTCCTTCTTCTTCTTCGACTTTACTTCCTCTCTTCCTTTGCACATATCTAAAATCCCCCATCTCCTAGCTCAAGGTATAATTTCTTTCATAATATTAACTTCAGTTCCATATAGCTTTACACCAAGCACTTAAACATGTCCTGCACATCTGAGCCAATGTTTCCTGAGACATCCCCTTGACTTTCTTGGCCTCCATCCACCTGCCCCATAGTCTATCTCCTAAAGCCTTTGTTCACTGGCCTCACTCTATTAGAATCAGCCTCCAGGGATGGGAGGCTGGAGTAATCTACATTTGCAAGCTCCACAGGAGAAACTGAGGAGTGACTTAAGGAGGCAGAATTTTCACTATTGCTATTTACTTTATATGTTTCCATCTTGTTTGCATTTTTTACTATGACCATGTACAACTTGTATACCAAAAATTAGTGCGTGGAGAGAGAGATATATATATAGCTTCCCGATGATTCTGATGGTCTAACAAACATAGGACCACGTTAATCATTTGAACAATGATTCAGGCATATTCCTTCTTTCATTTCTTAGCTCTCCAACAAGGCAGAAAGGTACTTAAGAGCAGAAAATAACCCTGTACTTTTTCTATCTCTTTAATGCTGGAAATGCCAGGCTCGAAGCAGGTGCTCAGTCAATACCTGAATAACTTTGGTTAAACTCCCAATAAAGTAAGAGAAAAATTTAATGGGGACATACATGGCATGGTACATTTGAAGAAAAAAGGAAACTTTATAATTAGGGGGCTAAGGAAATATGTGTTATTAAGACACCCAAGATACTCAGGTGGCTTAATAAACCACAGGATGACCACAAATCAGTGTCTGTGTTTTTCTTTAGATCTAGCAGCAAAGGATATTTGAAGGCATCAATAAACTTTTAGCATGTAGAAACCACGGAGTGGTTCACTCTTTTTTCAATCTGACTCATTCTTAAAGTGATGTGTTCAGTTATAAATTCTACAGCTAAAGAAGAAAGTTGAGTAGTTGGATGGTAAGAAAAGAATCAAAACTTTCATACATTCCTGATGGGAATATAAAATAATGCAGCCACTTCGGGAAATAGTCTCACAGTTCTTCAAAAAGTTTAACATAGAGTTAGAATATCACCCAGCAAACACACTCCTAGGAATATACCCAGGAGAACCGAAAACATATCCATACAAAAACTTGTACACAGATGTTCATAATATCATTCTTCATGCTAGCCAGCGAATAAGCACTATACCGGTGAATAAACAAAATGTGGTATAACCAAACAATGGAATATTATTTCATCATCCAAGGGAGCAAAATACTGACCATGCTACAATATAAATGAACCTACCTTGAAAACTTGCTACACATTCTATAATTTCACTTATATGAAATGTGCAGAATTGGCAAATCCATGGAGACAGAAAGTGGATTAGAGATCTCCAGGGTCTGAGAGGAAAAGGGATAAGAAGTGACTGCTAGTGGATATAGAATTCTTAAATTAGATAGTGGTGATGTTTGCACAAATTCTGTAAATATACTGAAATACCTGAATTGTATACTTTAAAAAGGTAAATTTAATAAAGCAATTTTATTTAAGTAAAGAAAAAAAAATCAGTGGGAAAATAGAGAGGGCGTAGTCTAGGCAGTAGAACCCCCAGAGAATGTTTAAAAAAAAAAAAAAAGAAACAAGACCGCAGTTTTTACTAAGGGCTGCCTTTTTAGACATAAGTGGCTTTTAAACTTTTTATAAATGTAAAAAAACAATGGGTAGCTAAGAAGAAAATTAAAAGACATAGACTATAAATACAGCCTGAGGGGTTTAGTTTAGAGACAAGGAAGGTTTTCCCACCAATAGAAGTTGGAGTAAGAGGTTTTCACTTCTCTCTTTTTGGTGGAATTAAATGGTGCTTAGAATAGGTTTTATGCGTACAAGACAATTTGGAGGAGCCCTTTCTGAAATGGCAGGGGGATGAATTAGATGACCTCGCACGGTCTTTGCTCCTTTTCTCTTCCTCAGAACACTCAGACGCTCAGCGCCCGGAAGGGCGCGCTGCCTCCAGTGCGTTTAGTCCCAGAGAAATATGAGGAAACTCTTCTGTGTCTTCAAAAGTTTTATTTGGTTTCTATATTCAGTCATAAACACACAGTTCTCTTGAGACGGTGAAAGTCTCCTCCTCTAAACAATGAACTTTTTATTTAAAAAAAAAAAAAAAACAACAAACAAACCTGAGGCTGCACTGGTAACCTATTATTTCAGTTATTTGTGTAAAGAAAGTAAATTCAGGTTATGTATAGCAACCTCCACACATGTTATTAATATGAATACATAGAATGTACCTGCTCTGGCAAATAGTTTTAAAATCTCCATGAACCGTTGAATCCAGGTTTATTTAAAGAATTAAATACCATCCTCATATTTTCCCAGGATGGAACCATGTCTTCTAAGCCCTCCCCTGGCCTCCCCATGCACTTTGCTTTAGGTGAAAACAAGAACCTGCTTTTGGTCCACTGAGCACAATGTTCCTCACTCTCTGCCTGGGACCCAGAATCCCATGAAAATAAAACAGTCTGAGGGACAGGATTAAAGCAAGAAAGTCTCTCCATGGCCCTGTCACCAAATTCAAATCAGATCCTTTCTAGTCTTTATTCTCTGGTCGGGTTAGATAGTGCTTCCTCTTAGGACAAAGTTGATGTCAGCGTCGATGCTCTTGGTTCCACCGTCGCACACACTCGACAGTAATCGTGCATTGAGTGTGCGCAGACATTTAACGTTATTTTCGGTTAGTAATATAAAGCTCCATTTCCAATATACTCAAATGTTTTAACCCAACAGCATGCTTACTGAGTAATGGATTGTAGTCTTAGGAACAGACGTTGCTAAAACTTGATTTGCTGAGAACATTGATGAAAGAGAATTCCTTGCCAAGACATGAAGCACTTCACCCCTTCAGGCGGGGGTCTGCTCCCCCTTCTAAGCAAGGGCATGGTCAAACTGCCCTTTCTCTAGGCCTTCAAGCCCGTCAGCCCAGGTCGAGGTCGGCATGCTTCGATATGGGTCCAGAAGAATCCGGAAGCACCTGACAATGAGGATGCCCAAGAAAATGAACAACAAAATCACAAAAACAAATGTAGTCTTTTGCTCCAGAGACATGCTAGAATCTGACAACGTGTCCCCGAAGGGCACTAGGGGTGAAGGGACAGGGTGCCCTCCATCCATTGTCTAGGGAAGACAGAGCACAGGATCTCCCAGTTTCGTTTTCTTCCATCATCAGTCTGCTGAGATCATGGCGTTGGCACCTTGAGAGGGTAAATTATCTGGAGGAAGGAAGAAAGAGAAGAAAGGGAAATAACTAACAAAGAGCAACTTTATTTCTAGGCTCACAGTCATGTTTTCCAGAAAGAGGAAGGACTCTCTAAACTTTTTCACTAGAGATGCCTAATTTTGTACAATATTTTACTCTTGCATGAAATTACCAGACTGTCCTCAGAGCAGCCACCTGAGGCCAGGGGGGACAGGCAGGGAAAGTAACCAGAGTACAGAAAATGAGAAATGTGCAAGGTAATGTGCTTGCCAACTTAACATCCAAACCCAGCCTCCGTGTCAAGTCTCTTCTAGGTTCCCTCCAATAATATTACTCTTATATCATTCCTATAATGATACCATTGATTGAACACCAACTATCTGCAAGAACTGTGGCTAAACACAACATGTATTAGCTACTCTACTACAAGTTCCATGAAAGCAGGGACCTCTATAGTTTCAGGGCAAGGACACTGAGGCTAAAAAATGTGCTCAATATAGAAACTCTCCCAGGGATCATCAGGTTCTGGGGTCTAGCCTCCACGTTACTGCCAAAAGAGTATAGGACCTTGGAAAGATCACTAAACTGTGAAAATGGAAGTAGAAAGACCTGTGTATCTCATGTGGCTATAATGAGGATGAATATCTGTGAAAAGCCTTTGAAAAGCACACAAAGAAGAAAAACAAGGTGTTGCTTCGCTGAAGACATGACTAAGAGAGCTACAATGCTTCTTTGCTTTCCCTTGCCTGAGCCAAGAGGCAAAGGAGGTGTCTCGGACTTCCAAACCATTAGGCTCCTGCTGCTTTTTCTTTTTTCTGCAGAAAACAAAGGCCAGTTTCAATAGTTGACCCTAGGAAGTACCTAGAGAACTGAGCTAGGGAAATGGAATTGATTGACTGCTTTTTTTCCCCTTTATTTTATTGTTGACGCTATTGCAGATGTCCCCATGATTGCATTTTTTTAAAAGCCTCACAATGGCTTCTTACTCCTTAAGACAATTTCGTGGAGAATAAGAGGACATTTTACTGATAGAAAAATTAAGGAATATGGATATTATTGTTTGGCTTTAAAGGCAAATAGAAGTATACACAAAGACCATTAAAAGCTTCTCATATTGACCTAAATCTGTTTAAATCAAATTTTGTAAAGAAGAGTATCTGTATTACATATTACTATATAGAAAATCATATGACACCTTTATTTATGACTCAGTCTGTTGGAAAAGTTACGTAGCAGAGTAGTCAGGGATGAAAATTAACATGGTTCAAAATATTATGCTCAATAAAAACAAGCAACCAAATAAAAATAGAAATTATGACCTAAAAAGTTAATGCAATATTTCTTCAGCTAACTTATAATCATTGCGTTGAAGTACAGCAGTAGTGATCATAATACTTTGCATGTATGTTGACACTTCAAAGTCTATAAAATCCCAGTGTTAAAAGCAGTTCATAAAGGGAGTGACAAGCAGTATCTGGGAGGAATGAGTTATCAGTTTGGGGGGAAAATATTTCACAGTTCCATGACTGATTTTTTTTTTTTTGAAAGGCTAACATAGTTGCAAAGGAAACATTTATGATTCATTTTTATTTTGAAGTAAGGTTGGGATGAAATTTGACAGTATTTTAAAAAAAATAAGTTCCTTAGGACTGTAGAGGATGTTCATCGATCAGGCTTGGTTTGGTTTGCTTGGGTGTTTGTTCATCCTGGATCGGTAACTGAGGCTGAGGGGAGGGAAGGGGGCCGGAGATGGGGCCGGAGATGGGGCCGGAGCTCCCGACGCCGCTCTCCTTAGTGCTTCCTCCCAGGGCCGTCTGTACCCACCCAAAATACCCCAACTGGACCTAATCTTACCAAATAGAAAACTCTCCAAGGGCTAAGTCAAAAGAAAGCCATGTATAGGCAGAATAGATACCTAAGGTGCCCCTGCCATGTTCCTTCTTGTCTTCTCACGTTTTGGTGCGGACCCCCACACTCACACCCCTGCCCTCCCACTGACGCGCCGGGCCCCACTCTGCGTCCATTTTCCCTCCAGCCCAGATGAGAGCAGAGTCCTTTTCTATGTCTGTTCTCAATGCAGCTGAAAATACAGGTTTGCATTTTCAGAAATTTCCTTATGAAACACTCCATAAATCAAAAAAGGAAATACAGAAAATTAAAGATCATTAACTATATAAATGCACAACATAAACATTTCAGGATTTGTGAAATTCAATGAAGACAGCAAAGAGCTAGACATAGGATCTTCTGAGCCTGTGATAATTCCTCCCCATCCACAGGCTGGTGCCGAGTAGAGCAGTGCCTTGTTCAGTTCTTCCCTTCCCACCTCAAGTCTCCACTGATAGGAGCCGTGTTGACACCCAGAAGCAGTCTTCCCCAGCCTTGCCCTCTATACAAGGCAAATGTCAACTCCTTTGCTCCTAGTTCATCATCTCATATTTCTTAGGCTGTTCTAATAACTCAGGTTTTGAGCTCATTTGTAGGATTCAGTGATGGACAACCATGTGAAGGACCCTCGGCAAATAACCTAGTCATCGGATTCAGTTTAGAGTGATTTAAAAATGTTTGGTTTTACCACCTTGTTCTGATTAAAAGGCAGATGCAAGAATATGGTTAACTCTCTTTGCAGTGTGATTATGTGCTTTGAAAACTCTATAGCTCTGTATAAATTGTAAGCCTCTTCCCTCCCTGGATACTCTGGTGCCCAAATTCCTATTAAGATTACTTCCTTTGGTCATATCATTAAAGGACATTAAATTGCAATAGTTTACCAAGGAAAATGACACAGTAACACAGTAAGGATTTGCCTGTGAAAACTGTTCCTACTTGAAGGAGAGGAAAATGTGGTTAATAGAAAGGCCATGGCCAGGAGGCTCAGTTGGTTAGAGCATTGACTTGTATGCCAAAAGGATTGACCAGGAACTTGATTCCTGCTCAGGGCACATACCTAGGTTGTGGGTTCAATCCCTAGTTGGGGTGTGTACAGGAGGCAACCAATCAATTTCCCTTTCACATTGATCTTTCTCTCTCTCCCACTCCCTATCTCTCTAAAATCTATGGGTGAGGATTAAAAGGGGGAAAATTGAAGGAACATCTTGCTGGGAGTGAGGGGCTGCTAGAGAGGACTAGGGGGAACTGACATGGATGCTATGAGCAGATGGCCCAGCACGGGAGTCCTGGGGAGTAATGGGAGATGGGGCCGGAGATGGGGCCGGAGCTTCCGATGCCGCTCTCCTTAGTGCTTCCTCCCAGGGCCGTCTGTACCCACCTGGGTGGGTAGAAATGAGAAAACCAGGAGATTGTTATAAAGGGATTTAGAAACACAGAGATCCGGAAAGAAATGCCGACTATTTCACAATTTTGCCTAGGTGTGATTGAAACCCTTGGAAGAATCTGGAGTTTTTTTTGTTTTTTAAACCCACAATGAGCTAATCAATAATTTACAAATTTGGACAGTTCAATAAGCATGTTTAAGTTAAAGGAAGCATCAGATATAAGATGCAGAAAAAGAACTAAATGTAACCACAGTACAAAAATATTCAAAAACATGTACATTTTAAAAATGTCTGTCTTAAAGTAAAATGTCCCTTTTGGTATAAATGATTCTTAGGAATGTTCACAATTGCTTTTAGCAAAATAACGAAATCTTTCTTTTAGATGAATAGTGAAATCCAGGCAGGTAAATTATTTCAGAAGACTTTGACCCAACCATAAATGTTAATAAGAACTAAAGGTAGTAAATAACTGAACCTAAAAACAAAAACAAACTAGGAAAACAACTAGAACAGAAACAGAATCATAGAAATGGAGATCACATGGAGGGTTATCAGCGGGGAGAGGGAGGGAGGAGAATGGGGGAAAAGGTACCCCTGTAAGAAGCATAACCAGTAGGTACAAAATAGATGAGGAGGGGAGCGGTTTAAAGATAGTATAGGAAATGGAGACGCCAAAGAACTTATATGTACAACCCATGGACATGAACTAAGGGGGACAGGGAATGCTGGTGGGAGGGGAGTACAGGGTGGAGGGGAATAAAGGGGAGGAAAAAAAACGGGACAACTGTAATAGCGTAATCAATAAAATACACTTAAAAAAAAAATAAAAGGCAGTTATCTCCAGTATAAGCAAGATGGCAGGTAGAGCAGTGTTTTAATCCTGACTGGCTTCCCTGCACACGCAGCACAGCTGTGTCTACCCTCTGCAAGGTCTGTGTGTGTGTGCACGCTCAGGGAATAAAGTCTAATTTTAACACTGGACAGAGGAAATATTAATTAACAGATGCCATTTTAAAAAATCCTACAATACATCCCTTTTTTCAAGCCAGGCTTCCCAGGCTCTGATATTCACAAAGTGTAAAACACCCTGAATCACTTACGAAGCCCCGTGTGAGCAGTCCATCTTAGCCACAGTCATTCTCACTATTAGCCACTCGCTTAGGAGTAATTTGCAGAGGCTCACTCTTTCTTTCCCCATACTTCCTACATGCCACATCAAGATCCATCTTTCTGAGCTCAGATCTCGCTACTCCTCTCCTCAGAGAACCTTTGTCCTCCAGTGTCCAAGACCCTAACCCGCCCCTTAACCCCTCGTGGGTCTGATACCCCTGTTTTCTGGACCACAAATTAGGTCATATTCTGACAATGGAATTTTTCTAAGATATTAATTTATTTTCACAATAAGTTTAAAAAGGGACAAACATCAAATCACATTTGGCTTTGAGTAAAATGACTGATGTACTGATAAGGACAAGCTGACATGCAATTGAGTCCGGGACACCTGGGGAGAAAACCTCACCTGGTCTGCTCTACGGCTTCACCCAACACCTGCTGTTCTTTGAACACCTCCAGGTTTCCCACCTGTGAGCTCTGAGTCCCGACGCTTTCCTCCTCGCCCTGTTCCTGCCCGTCGGTCTCTCTTCTTCCCCCACGGTCCTCACCAAACACCACTTCCTCAGCAGGGCCTACATCCGCCCCCTCACCAAAGGCAGTGGGTGCTTTCTGCTCTGCCTCCAAGAGCACTTTACCTGCATTTCTGCGGCAGCACCTTGTTACAGGGCACGTCTCCACGGGGTTCGTCTTCTTCCCCTTATTAAACAACAGGCTCCTTGAGGAATTCCTTGGTGTTCGGGGATCATTGCCTCTTTCAATAGAGGTTAACTCAAATCTCTAGCCCCTTACAGTCCAGGGAACTGAATTCCAACTTCAGGGTGCCAGCTGATACAGACAGAGGGTAAAAAAAAACAACAAACCAAAAAAAAAAAAAAAACACCATGTCATCCAGCTGAACTGGGATGTCAGACCACTGTGTTTGAATTAGATCTTGGTTCAAAGAATCGCAGATAGTCTGAGTCACAGTGACACTTTCGTAGTCACAAATCTCATTATTTGAAAAGGAGTTATTCGGTCCTTTAAATATTCCTGGGCCTCACTGCTGACTGGTGGGTCTGAAATATAAAAATTAACTGGAGATAAGCAGTTTCCCTCTACTTAAGGGGTCAACTCCTTCTAATCTAATCTGCTTTTTATCAGTCCAGAACGGCAGCCATTGAAAATATCTTGAATCCAAATGTCTTACATGGAAACTCTAAATGTTAACATGTGCCCTTCTCAAGTTTGGATCCTTCCTTTGGACATTTCATTTCATTGGCATCTCATTATACAATTTCGCAGTAAAGAAAAATATTTTATCTGAAGAAAGTATATCTCAAAGCAATGACATGTTTCTTATTTTTGAAGCGGCCGCAGCAGAATGAGTTGAGTGTGTGTGGTACCACACACAGCCATTTCGTTCTGCCATCTCACTTTTGTGGTCCTCGGCTCTCACACCCGCCCTCCTACAATCGTAGCAGTAACAGTAGTGGCCGATGCAGTATATAAGCAGTCCTGCCTGGCATGCACTGAGTGGTCAATAAATAGGTGATGACAAATAAGTGTGTTCTCTTTGTACCATTTTTGTGCAAAATAAGATTTAGTTCTGATTTGTTATGCAAATCAGCACACAAAGCAATAAAGATTATAAGCAATTGCCCCAAATTTAAACAAAAAAAAAAAAAATCTGTTGCCAAGAGAGCAGCATCCCCCTAAGGATACTGGATCTCAGGTTCCTCTCTGGCATGTTAGAATGAATAGAAAGTCGTCATCTCTCAGCTGCGAGCGGTGTGCAGGGTGCAGTTAAGCAATGCTGTCTGTATTTTAAGTACTCCTAAACCACATAATTGCTGTACCTAATTTTTAAAACCTCTAGGCCAGGAACCTAGTTATGTGACTTGACATGTTTTCAAAAGTAGGTGTTAGAAACAGTTCGTCCATTGAGAAAGAACACTCACAGGCTTGTCCAGTTTACCTTCCCATGTGACAGACAGGACACTCTGTCCTGCAAAAACTCCCTGGGTACCTTATTTCTATTTATCCAGCCGACTAGTGAGCCCAATCTGTAGACTGCAACAGGAAGGAAACTGACTAGGTAAGCAGGACTGAATTTGCAACAACTGGCAGAGAGGAACTGACTTAAAAGTGCAGTATTATTTTGCCCACAGTTTTGAAGATGACTGTAGAAATGTTAATGTGGCTTTCAATGATTAAAATAATACATATCCTGAAGCTGAGGTGAAACAGAATTATTCTCTACTTTCTGAGCTAAAGGAAGCCTCAGCTGCATTACTGTTTGCATAACTGGAGCCTCTGGAGGTCCACCCACCCACCACACCCCCAGACACATGAACATCCCAGTCAACCCTATTGTACCTTTCCCCCCACCACTGGGAGCCCTCCACAAAAGCCACCTCATCACCTAAGCAATCAAATCACTATATAAGCAAATGAATCTTGTAGATATCTCTGAATCTTGTAGAAATTCTGTGTATGAGCTCTGGGAACAGTAACTTGCCTTCCAGGATATGCACACAAAGATGCAAAATGTTTCCTATAAATTCACACGATTCATGGCCCTCTTGGTGGCCAGCCAAAAACTTCAGGTAACCATTTCCAGGCTCTTTGCAGGTACTTCATGCATTTTAACCACCACCCCCCTTCTTTCGGCTCACATAAATACATGGCAACTCCCATATTCTTCTTTTCCGAATACAGCTCCCCTGTTCCACTACAATAGCCCTGGTGCTTCAGAATTCACAGGATGGCTAAGAGTAAGTATCATTTATCCACTCAGACAATAGACCCAAGGCTACTAGAAAGCCCATAAACAATGATTTTAAAGACATGTGAATGTGGTCAGCTACGGGTGTCAACAGGCAGTTTCGCAAATGTTGCCGCCCCCACTGCTGCGCTTGGGAGGGCTGGTCCCTCCGCTCTCTGCCTCCGCAAAGTCAGCGCGCAGAAGGGGCAGCTTGGGCTTGGGGTGGACCCTGCCGTTCTGATGCCTGCCAGCTCTGGGTCAGCAGGAAACCTTGCTCCTGCCTGAGCCCCAACCTCAGCTTCACTTCTTCCCTCTCTTCGTCATCCTCCTACCGTCTGCTTGAAGAGTTTTAAAGGGGCTGAAGGGCAAGGCTGCAGCCTAGCTGAGAACATCAGAAAAATACCACCTAGTCTTAGTCAGTCGCTGGGGATATCAAAAGGCACCGTTAGCAAACCGAAACTTTTACCTTCAAGCAGTAAACATTACTATTCTACCCAGTTTTCCTTGACTTTCCTTATGTTTCCTAGTGAAAAGAAATGCTTGTTGATACCTCAGAAGCCTAAGGCTGCCCGCTGCTCATCACCCGGGGACGCCAGGGACAGTCGGTGCTGTCATTTTGAGTTGTTGAGTTGCGATCCTTTGTAAACAAATTAAAACATCCCTATTATATATTGGGAGATTAGATATTTGAGGTGAAAGGGAAAAAAAAAATACTGTCATGGCCAAATAGCTTTCATGAAGAATTTACTGCAGCTTAGCAAAGAAAAAAGCCTATTTTACTATTCCTTAATCCAGTGTCAGTAGCATTGTAAACTTAAGCATGCTTTAAGAATAAAAGCATCATTACATCCCCCCGCCCCATATTAACTTTACTCAGCAACTGCTTAATTAGCCTTTATCTGACAGCTGGCTCTGAATTCAGAACTTGGATCCAAAATGTAATTATTTCTCATGCATAAATTGTAAAGTTAGAGAAAAGCATTTCACTAGCCTGTCACAGACACAGTTTTGGTCAAGTACCTGGATCTGGCGGAACAAACACTTGATCCATTTCCTGGTGGAACTGTTACAGGTAGTTACAAGCTTCTTTAGTTTCCATTCCTCCCGACCAGGCTGTGTGAAAGCAGGAGACAGTGGTAGCTGCGAGCAGCTGATGGCACACCCCAGATCTAAGGCTGTTGTTTCAGGCTTAGAAACTTCCCATTAAAACCCTTGAATTAAAGGAGCATCATCTTTCTGTTGTGAGGCATCATTAGCGGCCAACACGGCTGCTTCTTTGAGGCGAGCCATGATTTCAGTTCTGCCTCAGCAACTCTTCAGAGGATTCTGCTTCAGTGAGTAGAGGCAGCATCCGAGCAGTGTGTCTGAAATCATCCCTAAGAAAGCATTAACATTCCAAAGGAGTCCGGGGCGGGGGGGGGAAAGCATCACAGGGCATTCCCATACCTTTTCAAAACCAAAGTCATAAATCTACCAGTGTTCTGCTCTTCCCTATTGATTGTTGATACTGTCCTTCTTTGGGGATGACAATTAGCACCCTGCAGCCACCAGCCTCCCTATCGATTATGGTTTATGACCTTCAGACCAACTTAATTAACGGGAAAACTTCTAGCGAAGGGCATCGACTTAGCATTTGGGAGATGGGCAGCGAGGAAAGACTGCTTTACTTAAAGAAAAGCAGCAGCAATTATGGGAAGCAAAGAGAAAAAAGGAATTAAAAAAGAACAAAGTTACATTTTCGCCACCTGTTTGTATATTTGCTAGGCTTAGGTTGCCTGTCCAGTGTCTCCCTGGGCCAACTGGGACCTTGGCAGGTGCCCCATCCCACAGAGGCCATCCGAGACCCCGTGACGAATAAAGATATACGTTTGTTGGGAGGAAGTTGCTCTAATTCTACCGATAGTAGCTACATGGCGCAATACTGTATTCCTTCTCTAGAGTGTCTAAGTAAATTTAGAAAATATTTTAGGATACAGTTTATCTTTTTACAAAACGTGGTTCTCTGGAAAGGATTCAGCATAACCCTTAAGATGGAACATCCTTGGTTTTTGGCAATTCGCCACTTTCTTTGTTGAAGTGGAAGCATAGTTAGCGACAACACCCACCCACCAAATGATGGGGTACATGATATTTAAAGCTCGTCCTGACTGTGCCCGTCAGCTCTGCTGTCTGTCTCTTCAGCCCCTGTGAGAAGTCGGCCATTACCCTGTAGCTTTAGGGGGCTTGAGCACAGCTCATTTCCTAAGAGGAAAACCCGGTATGTGCTAACAACAGAAAACAATCGTAGCTAGGTCTCAGGCCCCAGAAAATTCAGACGCTAAATCTTAGACTCGAAAAGTAAGAATCGAATGCTTGACAGTGGAACCTAACCTCACAAGGACGGGGAGGTTTTTTTCCCTTTATGTTTTCTGGATTTTTAGCGACATTTCCTTTCCAGTTAGTTTTATTTACTGTATTTTCACACACACGCATACTCACTCACAATGCAGTGGGACAAATAAAATCCTACAGAGTAGTATCAGTTAATACTAATTGGCGTCCTCTGCGTTTTTAGCAGATGGTGCTGGTAGAGGGAGTGCCCTGTCTCGGTAATGCCAACGCAGTGTGGCTCAGGGAGCATGCTGGCCCCACCCTCCCTTATATACTTATCATTCCAGTGGCAAGAAGGCACTCTAGTTAGAAACAACTGCCCTGCCCAGGAGGCCTCCTCAGATATTGTTTTAGCCTAAAGGCTCGGAGACGTGGAAGGGAACGTGAGAGGGCGGTGGCTGTCCTCTAGCTACTCTGCAGGCTGAAACTATCCAGAGAGATGAGTGCCTGGCCTATTTTTAAAACTCTCCAGAGAAGTAGGTTCCACAACCCCTTCTAACACTTTCTGTTTAAATGACATCCTCCATGGCTTACTTAGTCTAAATAAGCATATTTTCCTTTCATTCTACACTGACTGCAAAAAGTCAGTCATGAACCACCACAAAATATTGTGAGAATGTTCTTTCCCCAAAGAACCTGAACTGGGTAAACCAAATATCACTGGACGACAATGTGCTGATTCCAAGATCTTACCGCCAAGTTTGCATATTTCTTTTATAAGATAACTACAGTTGGAATTATTGGAATCAGCCCTTCCCCCACGCTGTTACATTATGTGAATCATCATGAATTGTGAAACAATGAGGAAGGATTTAGGAAAAGTCCAGTTCTTTGAATATTTTGTAGTAGGTCCTATTTCTTTAGTCTTTAATAATTTTTAGAGCATTTCTCTGAATTCTTCCTTGGATTTCTGCTCTCTGGCCCAGCTTTTAAATGGGGGGCCTAGAATGCTCCCCAGAGCTGTGTGAAGCTCAGACTCACATGGAACTATGATGATACAAGGTCATTTCACAGGTGCACCTGCTATGTTTCTCTTATCCAGACTGATCCTAGCGTTATACCTATGTACTAATTCAGCCTTTCTTTTCAAGCACACAACATCATGACTTAAGATTGTTAGAAATCTATTTTAGGAACTTTTCCTATATTCTAATTTCAAGTCTCACATTTCATGTGCTTTAGGTTACAATTCTTTCCTAAATGTCCTATGCTGCATTTTCCATAAGGAAATAGACAGTGAGTATGAAAAAGGCTTCATGAATCATCAGGATTTATGCCACCACAGGCTATGTTATTATTATCATCACCATTGTGTTTCTGTCTGACTCTGCTTAATTCTCAAAATAACATTGAATCAATTCTTGGTATGAGCTTCAAAATATAAATATGATTTTCTTTTTATTTTTATCACTAGATTGTTTTGTAAATTCTTTTCTTCTTTTGTGTAGATTTCTTTTTCTTTCACGTATTCAAGAAATAGTCATTAAGTGTCAGAACATACACAGGTATGTTCTGTATTAGGCGTTGCAAAGAATAAAAATATGAGTCCTAGCTCTCTGCCTAACTTTGTTCAGGTTGTGTACAGCTCTAGAAGGCTCCCCGGTGAGGGCCCAAAGAGCCTCTGGCAATGGCTGCGGAGCATCTTGACTAGCACTAATTGAATGGTCAATTAGTAGTTGGTGAATCTGGAACAGAGAAGTATTCGAAATGAAAACGAGGAACAAACAATACTGCAACTCAGTGTGAATCTATTTGAAAAAAGAACATAATACTTGTGAGGATTACAAATTGCCCAGCAAAATCAGTGAGTTTTTCATTCTTTCCTTTATAAATCAAAAAACATAAAGCCTATAGGAAGGAAATGCACCATGCTCATGAAAAAGCCAACGTCCTGTCCTAAGAAGAAGGGACTTGACAAAATGTCCCACGATGGTTCTTCCTAGAAATAGTATTTGCAAAATTTTAGTTATTAATTCTAATTGTAGTTTGAAAGGATGAGGGCATCACTATGGATTACTCACTGTTCAAAGCAAATTCATACTGAGGAGTTAACTGCTTGGTGGGTGAATTTATTCTCTTAAAATGACTGGTTACAATAAACAGTTTTAAAATGACTTTGAAATATTTAATCCCTTTAAGATGTCATATAAAGTACTAATTAGAGTTTTATATGAATCATCCTTCCAAATTTTTGTGCTGCCGCTTTGGCACTATTCTTCCTTTCCTTTCAACAGCTGCTCTTCAGAAGGAAGCCAGTGCTGTGCCGACACTGAGAGGACGAAGCAGCTTAGAACATTCAGATGATTTAAAATATGAAATTGAATGTACCCGAGAACGACGGACCCTTTTATAGCTGACAAAATTCTGGAACTAAAAATCTGGCGACTGAAAAATGAATTTGAAAAAAAAAAAAAACAAACCCCAGAGGTAAAAAATAATCATACAGAACAGTTAAAAATCCTTGTTAAAAAATGTATGAAAAACCAATCTCAATTTCTGATATTTAAACTTGTGGAAATGGTGGAAAGGAGGCTGAGGAAATGGTAGTAAACAGAGGTTATGATATATCGTTACTAAATGCAAGTTCCAGCTGCCTCAATGAGGTAGTCAAGCTGCTGCTTAAAAAAAACATTTAACTTTACAAATATTCCAATATTTCAAGGGGATCGGTCAAAAGTTCTAGTGATATTATTTAAAAAGTCAGATATTAAGGGTACATCTTTCTCTCCAATTCTATGTTCCAAACTGGTAGGAGGTCCACCATCTACAATTTTGCCTATAAGTAATATATATTTTATATTTATACATATAGTAATGTGAAAATATTATAAAAGCATCTCTGTGTGTTATATAATATTAAATTACCTCAGGACCTTGTTAAAGATGCATATTTGAAGGTCCCAGACCCAGCTTAATTAATTCAGTAAGTCCAAGAATCTGTATTTTGAATAAAAAATCTACATAATTAATAATGTAAGACATATGAAGTCTACACATTGAAAATGATATAGGTACATTTTTTTCCTCTCCTTGATTTTTTGGCCATATTAGGTATTTTAACTCTGTGAGGGAAGAGCCTTACGCATTGAAAACTTGATTAAATCCATGAAAATGCAAAATGCTTTGAGAACCTCTGCCTGCAATTCCCATCTAAAGCACAGGCGTCTTCTCTTCCTCCCTTCCTCCCCCTCTGCGTCCCATTAAAGCGGCAGTAAACGATGACCAGGAAGAGAGAGACTTGGTCTACTTCTAGGAGAGGAAGGTGAAGGGAGGAGTGCTGAAAGGGAAACAGAGCTTCAAAGACATGCAGACGGGGTGACGTCTCCAAAACAGGTGACTGTCTGGCAGGAAAGACTAAGGTCAGGATGAGAAGTAGGGCTATAAACAGGAAAAAGTGGACGGACTGGGGACAACCGAGTGACCACACTGCCTCCCAAGGCTGTAGAAGTAACTAGCGGGCCAGGAATCCTGGTGTAACTCTTAGAAGGGGTGGCGGTGCTGAAGATTGAGCTGAATTATCATTTATCGTAGCAGGAAGGGAATAGAGAATGTCAGCATTGACTAAATGGGCAAGAGATGAGGTCAATTGGTTAATAAGAAAATAACAAGGGAGCCAAAAAGAAATAACTGTTAAAATTCCATTCTCCCTGGGTTTAGACCTGGGAGATGAGGGCAGCACATAGCATCACTACATTTCACCAAAGTCCCTCCTAAGCAATTTGATTGTTTAACCATGTGCATATTGTTTAACTACGTGCATTTCATGTGTAAAAATTGTCAGTGTAACAGAAGAAACCATTGAAGAATAAAGAAAAACCTTTCTTGAGATCCAGGCAAAGAATCTCTTATGATGTCATCTTAGCTAGTACCAGCAAGAAATAACTGGATAATTCTTTGAGGACGGGAGCTTCCTCAAATACCCAGAATCCCCCTTAAGGGCTGTGGTCTATCCTGCATATAAGTAAAGTTGATCCTTCTAAGTCCTTCTAAAACATCATATACACACTTAACATGTGA